CGTCCATTAGAGTGGTTGGTTAATCGCAACGCGAGATTTAATTCCTCCCCTAAGAAATAATACAGCGATTTGTTGATGGTATAGTCTAACAATCATTATAGAAGTATTTTTACAAGATAAATAATTAATTACCGGGTGAAAATACATGTCTAGGTAAGGTTGCTTCAACTTCCACCATCATTTTTCTCGGTTTTTTATCGTTATACAATACATCCTTAAAATTCCATACTTGATCTGGCGGAGCAAAAGATATAGGAATGAAAGGTGTAACTATTTCCGGACCTTCGATTAGAGTCCCACCGGCTCCTTCTATCACTGGTTGCCATACATACCGGATTGAATTTCCTTTCGGTCCCTGATAATATGATGTTAAGTCAACTTAATATTTAATAATATCTATTCAACTTGACACATCAGAATCAATTAATTTATAAAAACCTCTATAGAAGGGGGAAAATTCACTGGTGGCAGCTAATAAACGAAAGAAAGTGAATATCGGAAAATAACAGATAATTTTAATACAATAATTGAGAAAAACAAATTTTACCTTTAGAGCAAATTCAAACCTATACATTCCTGGAACAAGTTCTTTCCAAGGAAAATATTCATTGGCTTTTTAGAATAAATAAAGATTAAATTCACATTAAATTTTTTTTTTAAAAAAAAATTGTGATAAAGGACGTATTTAAATCTTAATTACCTCTTACTTGGCCGTTATTTCCGCCGCTCCAGACCACGTAACTACATTCGAAATAAATAGTTCGCGCGGTCTCAACACGTTTTGCTGATCCGGAAGCCGACCCAGAATCTTTTGCTTTGGTTGATGAGGTCTCTTCACCTTGTGTATCAAAAAAGAAGTTGTTTTATGAATTGTATATGAAAAGAAGGTAAACTTATTGATAAATACCTCGAAATTTAATTTTGATTGACGATGCAAATAATGTCCTGCTATTATCTGAGATCGTCAAAATTACCGAACCTTTAAAATTGTTAAATCTGCATAAATTTTTTATCATGGCATAAGGGGGAAAAAAAAATCTCGGTTAAATAATCACATACCTCTAACAACTTGAGTGGGTCGTAATGTTAATGTCCTACCTACCTCAAACTCCACGTTCAGCTGTGGTAAGTTAGAGGACATTGAATGTTTATCCTCTTGACTTCCGATCGAACCTAATCTTAAAATTCTTGACATAAGGAATCGTAAACTTGCACCTTTACTATTAGAAGCAAGGCACCCTTTTTTTTTGTTTTTATTTTTATTTTGTTGTGTAATTACAACTGATGAAGTACGGAACCCACTACTACGTAAGCCACCTTCTGACTCGTTTTCGGTTAACTTGACAAGTATAAAGAATGGGGAAAAAAATTTGTTTAGAAAAAATCGTCAATATCAGAGTTATAATACTTTCTTACCATATATATTTTATATATGCCCATTTTGTTATTAGTCTAACATCATTTAGGGTAGTGCAACAATCAAAAATAGACTTTTTAATTTCAATTGAAATTACATGCCGATCCAATTTTTTTTATGACAACACGGATTTTTTAGACAGATTTATATGCAAACGTGATTAAACTTACTTTTTAAATGCAAGATTATAAAGTGCAAATGTAAATTGTATAAGTGATTTTTTCTGTTTATATTAGATTTAGTTATTTACCAATAAATTGAACGAAAAATGAAGTTCAATAAGAAAAATTTTGAACCTTCTTTTCCCCAAATTCTTCTTGGCGGGTACAGAAAATCATTTCCAATCTCATAATCGAAAAAAATGTTTACCACAGTGTATTACATTCTGACCCAATTATATGAAAATGTTCTCAGAGCCATCTTCTTTTGCACCCCTTTCCTTTCTCATACTCTTTTCGTCCTAAAGAACTCGATATTAGGAACTTTCTTTGTGCTATACCTTTTTCATTTTTTTATTTTATTTATTATTTATTCAATTAAGTGTCAATAGAGTTTCCATTCATTTATTTTATCATTATCAAAATATCAAATTCGTGGTCTGCTCGAAGTAATAAAAATAGTAAAATGAGCGGTTCAAGTACGACGACGCTTACGGTTCTATCCCTAAATTGCTGGTATTATATATCTTTTAAAAGTTCGCCGGATATAATTCGTCCTTTATGTGTTTGTCTAAGTCTTTTATTGTCCGTAGGGGTTTGAGATTTATTTCCAAGAAAGTTGATCAACGTATGGAAGCTATTGCGGACAATTTGGCTCATTCTGATTATGAGATCGTTTGCTTACAAGAAGTTTGGGTATATCGTAATTTCGAAGCCATTAAACAGAAAACCAAAAAACGTTTCCCCTATTCTAGGTTTTATAACAGGTAAAGTAACAAATGTCACGCCTACTTCATTACCAAATAATCTGTCATCCAGATTTATACGTTATATATAAAATTACCAGATATATGTTGCTAGAATTAGTTCTTTTTTGGCCGGAATTATAAAATTAAAGTCATGTGCATTTTTAAAAGTGGTGTATTTGGCACAGGTCTTGTCATCCTTTCAAGATATCCAATAGTCGAAATATCCTTTCATAGATATCGTTTGAACGGTCGTCCCATTAAATTTACGCATGGGGATTGGTATGTTGGTAAAGGTGTGGGCAGCGCTGTTATTGACCATCCCGTGGCTGGATTGATTGAAGTTTTTAATACTCACGTAAGGCGAATTACGATTCAATTGCGATCTTTTATTCTTTTACTTTCAAGTTTAATTAATGCGATATATGTTGTTTTCGATATTTTAGACTCATGCCGGATACGGTTCAAAGAAGGATGATATATATTTGGCCCATCGAGTTTCACAAGGTTGGGAGATGTCAAACTTATTAAAAGCTTCAGCTTCGAGAGGCCGTAATGTAATCGCTGTGAGTAAATGTATTATTTTTATTCGTTTCATCTCGAAATTTTTCAAACCATTTTCATTTATTTATTTGCGTGCTAGGTTGGTGATTTCAACAGTAATCCGGAATCTTTGGTACATAAATTAATCACCACACATGGTCAAATGACAGATGCTTGGCAATCTCAGGTTCCATCGTCTCCAGCGAGCGTGTCCTCCGCTTCAATTCATCAACAAACTCCGGCTCTTTTCGATCCACAGAATTCCATCATTCAAAAAGGTTATACCAGCAATTCCCCACTGAACACGTGGTCAAAAACTACCATCAAACAGGCTGAAAGAGATTTATACGTGGGTCAACGTATCGATTTCATCTTTTATCGTAATTCTTCACGATTTTGGTGTAGCGGTTCTCGTGTTGTCTTTACAGATAAAATACCTGAACTTTCGGTCAGTTATTCGGATCATTTCGGTGTGGAAGCTACCTTTACACTTGTTGGAAGAGACAAGAATGCTGTAATCCCACTTTCGATTTGGGAACAAGGCCAATATGAGCATTTACATGAATTAGATACTCGTACTCTTAAAAATGTTGAAGATATATTCAAAAAAGATTTAAATAGATCACAAACAACATCACGTATACAATTGTTTTTCTTTTATTTTTCTTTAATTGTGGTCATTGGTTTGATCATTTTTGAAGCATTACTTGCTTCATATGTCATTTTATCACAATTTTGGATTAACATAATTATTGTAACGGTTATTGGTCCAATTGTATCTCTTGGTATTGTAATGGGATTACATGGATTCCTTTTTGGTAATGAAGAGCAAAGTGCGTTACAACAATTTATTGAAGAAGTTCAGTCTTATGCTGAAGGAAAAAAGGTTCTTGAGAGTCGTGCGAGCAGTATTGGAATTCTTGATGAAAATGGAAGCAGCCATAGATCTTCGGCAGCTGCTGGCGCGACTAGTCAAGTTGAAATTGGGTTTAAATCGTTATAACATTTTTAAATTTTTTCAAATTTATAGAGTATTCGTGGTTTATTGTGTAAATTTTTTTTTTTTTGATTCTTCAGGTGTAATTTTATATTTTTATAGAGTTCTATTATATAATTGGTAATTGTACCATAAAAAATCGGAAAAGTGGTGTTTTTCATAGCATAAAAAATTTATTAATCCATCAATTTATTAAAATTCATTATTATATGCCAAATAAAATTAATTTTAGAAACATATTTTATTTACTTAACAGCGAGTTTCATGAGATATACTAACTATTTTCCAAGCTAAAGAATAAGGGAAACCTTTTTCTTTTTTTAAAAAAATAAATAAAATATGCTAAACTATGTTTAAAGAATGGTTTTTAGCTTTGATTTACATAAATGAAACAGTTTCAAAATAATCAAAACCGATGATCTGTCCTTGAACACGTTGGTAAAATAATCCAACATCAAGCTGCTTTCAAAACGTATGTGTCCATAAGTTTCTCTTTTTGTCCTTTAATATGTTATTAAGTTCCGTTTAAATCATACTTTATTATGTCAACCAGATTTTCCTCCAATAAAAAAAGGATTGTTCGGACGAACAACAAATGGGATGAATGCAATTAGATATAATTTAATCCCTAATTTTCTAGTAATCTTCCCCAAATAATCTTTTTTTTTTGGTTCTAAAGGAGCGAAAATGTAAGTATAAGTAAATGTAGGCGTAACGTGAATATAAATGACGCGAGTGTGAATGAATGTGAAACGTACACTTCCATAATGTTCATTTCTATGGCTGTTGTGAAAGATCATCATAACCGATACTTCTCCAGAATCGGTAGATTTTCATCTTAGAAACTACCACAAAAAGGGAACGAGACTACGTGGACACAAATATAAAATATTTCTCACATGATTCCATTATTAAGACGTCTTAAATAAAAAGAACTTTTTATCGTATTAATTCATCATTGTGATATCAAAAAGTCAAAAGTCAAAAGAGCACGAATTATGAAAGTTTAAAATCATAAACTTTAATTATTTATAAATATAAGATCTTGATCTACCAATAGATAATATGTTGTGTATCGTGTGATAATTTATTAAAACAAACATATCTTTAAAAACATTTTTTAATTCAGGTTTGATATCATGGGCGACTTTTCTGTCCAATATGATCTCACAGGGTTATCCACTCAAAATACAGGTGGAAAGGTTTCGAAAATTCGATTTGATAATACAAAACAAGAATTTGAAAGTAATGAAATATTATTTGCTACAGGCTCTTGGGATACACCAAAGGTACCGTATTTGTTGTCTTTGAAACACACCTTTTTTATTTTATTTACATATCTTACGCGTTTTATAGGAAAATACACTACAATTATGGAATGTTGAACAAAGTCCTTTTGGTTTGAGCGAACAAGCAAACTTCAAATTTTCATTGCTTGGTAAAACAACTCATGAAGGGGACGTTACCGACCTGAAATTTTTTGGCGATAATCTCATATTATCATCGTCTTCGAATGGAACATTAAACGCCTTTCAAGTTCGTTTATTAAATTTGTATATTCAGTGAATTCATATTGTTAAATTAATTTCTACATGAATTGCTCGTAGATAAATACAAATACGAATACGTCTAATCATCAAATACAAAGGGTCATGAGTAGGCAGTTGCATAGCTTTTCTGACATTAGAAATGCATCACTTAATAGTTTTGCGATTAGACCATCCAGCATCAATGATCCTTTAGTGGCAACCGTTGGAGAGGATGGAAAAATCGTGATTGTGAGAATTGAAGACTCAATAAGAGATCACGTTATAGAAAAAGCTGATTCCTCTTCAATAAAAGCAATTTTGTGGCCCAGATCGAATGAGATTGTCCGTTTTTTTTTTTTTTTTTTTTTTTTTTATAAAAAAAAAAATTTGAATTATAATTCTAAAGTACTAGATTTTTATAGATCATAGCGAATGGATGTGGACAATTGAGATTATTTGATCCGAGGGAAAGCAAACTTACAACAATATGCTATGAGTATATATTGATGTGAAATTGTACTATTAGAAATAAGTAAAAGACTTCTTAGTAATGCCTTGTTTTATATAGTCCAAATAACGTTAGAATTCCAATTAACTGTTTAACATTTCATCCTTCAAAGGTAAAAAGAGTCATTTTGCTTGTACGGAATTTTATCGTAAGCTAAACATCATTAATCATTTCTCTAGGTATATAAGGTTGCATCGGGTAACAACAAAGGTGGCGTGACAATATGGGACACGAGAAAATTGTCGGAACCGGAAAAGCACGCCCAACCACATAAGTCTAGAGGTAAAGGACACGAGAAATCAATTTTCCACTTTTTTAAAGAAAAAAATTATTTATTTTTTTTTTCATTGAAATTGTAGTGTGGGATTTGTTTTATCATCCATATTATCAAGAATTATTGTTTAGCTGTTCTGAAGGTAAATGTTTTCATTAAAAGTACGTTTATAATTACATAACCTTAATATTTCTTATTTGAATTCACAGACGGAACGATTGGTGCCATTAATTTCGCAGATTCTGTACCTATAAGAAAAATCGGTTTCAGGTCCAATGAGCTTCCTATAAACTCTCTTGATTATCATCCACATTCGAAATTATTGATTGGTGGAGGTGATAATGAAAATTTACTTTATACTCTTATATAATGCATGAAATAAAATAAATTACCATAGAATAAAATGTTGGGTGTCACAATGCTGTAAAGACCAGTAAATCGGATATTTTAGATGAAAAAGTATAAAAGGGGGAATGATTTACGATCTTTTATTTTGTCATCCTTTTGGGTTTCTTTTCAATCATGATTAAATTTAAATGCATATTGCCACAAGAAGGACATATATTAGAAATAGAAATTACTTCAATAATTAAATATTTGTGTGATATTGAAAAATATATAAAAGAAAAATATAAACAACATTATTCTCAAAATACATTTCCGCACCCTTATACTTTGTTAACTGTTAGAAAGGCTGATGAAAGTGATGGTGATGCAGTGATATTTGATTCAAGCTTAAAATTTCAAGATGCCATTGGTACTTTTGGTGAAGATTTGGTGCTGATTTATTACACAAGTATAATAATTTCAATTTTTTTTATTTTGTTTAAAAAAAATTATCAGTTATTGACATTTGTTCTTTTATTCTTTTTATAGAATGCAATGAAGATGCTTTGCTTTCTGTAAAATTGCCAATTCAAAATTATCCTAAAACAAATCCTAAGGAACCGTATATAGAATCGATATATGGTCTACCCCCAGAAATTGTTGAACCTTGGCTTGATTTTTACGAACATTTACCACAACAAGAATCCTTTTCTCGTTATCCAAATCGCTCAATAAATTTGTCATCATTTTCTCAATCCACAATAACTTATCGAGATGACGCTATTAATGTAATAGAATCAAATATTTTAAAAATTCTAAATAAACTTTATTCCAAGAATTATTATCTTTCATTTGATTCATCTCATTATGATTGGAGTGAAACGGATAACATAACAAGCTCTTATAATTTCAAAGGTAGTCCGGATTGGTCATTTAGGAATTATGATAACGATGATACGATATTAGTAATTAGTGCCGCCACGAAATGGGAGATGGATATAAATGAGGAGGAAGGGAATCTCGCATTGATTTATAATGATGGAATAAGTAGAATTAAAAAGGGTACGGCGAGCAATTTAACAAGATCACTTGTAACACAGATCAATCGAATCTTTACTTATTTATCGCTCAATGGACTTCAATATGGGGTTTTGACGACGTACGAAAACACGTGGTTTTTAACTAGACCCAAAAAAAATCCAAAGCAACTTTTAATTTCTAAAAGTTTCTCTCCTAATGATAAACGACCAACTTTACTCAAGACTTTCGCGTCTTTCCTACATATGATTAGTAATGATCCATCATCACCAATTAATATGCCCGATTTTTCAATTTCACCTCAAATTTTGACAATAAATAATAAAGAGAGGTATGATATTTCACAAATTTTTTTTCCTTATTATTGAATTCTAAAAATAAGAAACTAAAATTACAAAAAAAAATTTTTTTCATAGAATCCAAATATCAAAGCTACTCCAATTTCTCGCACGTTTCATTATTAAAATCATATCTAAAATATTACCTAACTATTCAATATGTTCAACAAAACGTCTGAAGATTAATGAAAAATGTTTAGGGAGCGCAAGGATCGGAAGTGTATTTATAAGTTCTTATAAAGATGAAACCATTGCATTAAAGCTATGTGACATTTCAAAGCATCATGAATTATTAGATGAAATGCGCAAAGAAGTTGAATTTTATCAACGAATGAAAGATATTCAAGGAAATTACATTCCAAAACTTATCTGTAACGGATATATTCTAAATGGCATGTTTTTTGTCATAGGGACTTCATACAGTGGAAAATGTATGAATGATGGAAATGATGATGATGATGAAGATAACGTTATAACACGAGACGAATATGATCTTGCCATTAAAGCATTAGATGAAATTCACGCGCATGATATTATTCATGGGGATATTAAACCTGAAAACATTTTGAAATTTGATAAACCAAACGGGCAGAGGGTAATTAGGATTATCGATTTTGGATTTTCAAAAATATCATCAGATGAGAAAGAAAAGGAGGAGGAAAAGGAATTTTTAAGATCGTTATTAGATCAATTTTTCACGAGCGATTGATCATGTTTCACAATTGCCGAAATAAAAACATCTGATCATCTGACCATCCGATTATCATTCTGTTTTTGGCAATTAATATAAAAAAAAGATGTCAAGAAAAAATTTCACATTTTCAAATTACAACCTTTCATTAATTCAATGTCAAACATCAAACTTCGAGAGATTTTCGATATTCCTTTACCAACAATAACCTATTTGGAAAGAAAATCTTCAAATAGTAAAACAGTATCACGCTCTATTAAAGTTAATGGTCATTATGCACCAAAACAAATTTCACCTTGGAAAGATTTCGATGATGATTGTGAAAAAGTTTTAAATATTGAGGAATACAAAAAAATATTTGATAGAAACATAGAAAAACCTATCATCGCATTTGAAGAATCATCTAAAGTCAAGGAGGAAAAAGATCTTTATGACTTATTTGAACAGGCCGTAAATTTATGTTTAAAGGAGTTTCTTTCACAGTTAGGTGACTCATTTGAGGTTCTACCTGAAAAAATACTACCAAAATCAACGTTCACACCTGATTATACGGTTTCTAGAGGTAAAAATGAAGGTTTTTTATTGCCTATAGAAGTAAAGCTCGAACATAAATTTGAAAATATGATACCTGAAATTCATACTTTATATAATGAACAAATAGTAAATTATAAAAGTCGTAATCGTAAGAAGTTCAATAAACCAGACATAGTACCATTAATTTTACAAACTTACAAATATATGTTACATGAAGAATTTTTTTACGGGATATTAACTACCTATGATAGCACTTGGGTACTTAAATTTGAAGTTGATGAAGAAAATTTGGATGTTGAAAAGGTTTTTATTAGTAGACGAATCGATAAAAATGAATTAGTTAAAAGATTAATATGTGTTCTTTTATTTGTTTTTCAAGATGAAAAACGGGAAAGGAAATTCAATTTTATGTTGGAAGGTTGTAAGAGACTTAAAGTCTAAAACAATTTCTCGATTTATAACTATTTTGACTAGAAGACTAGAAATTATGAACAGCTAAATCTGACGACCCTCCTATAAATAATATAGCCTTTTTTGGTTGTATTTATTAAAAAGAAATTATTTATAGAAGATCACTAACCTAATTCATATTATCTTCCTTATTTGTATTTTATACTCTTAATTTTGACAAGTAGTTGGCGAAAGCTTTTATCAATCGATCAAACAAAATTTTGAATGTCAAAATCATTGATTTATATTGATTAGTATATGGCGCTGTTAACGTCCGTAGCACTTAAATCACAGCCTCATGGATAAAAGCGGTTATTATTATTAAGTCAACTCCTCATGAGAAATGATTTTACTCAAAATGAAAAGGATCGGAAAATGATTTTTTTTTTCATAATAGGGTTTAATAAAAAATTTTGAATTGTTCCCGATCTTTAGGAACATCCGAAATTTTCGGATTGTCTGGAATCCGAAACTTATTATAAATGTTCGGTCTAACCTGAAAAAAAAAATTACCAATTTTTTTGAACGATCTTTGTTTATTTTGATGTTACATAAACATTTTTTTAAAAAATAAAGATTCGCACGGTAATATATCACCTATCATTGTTTTTTAAAGGATCACACCTTCCTGAGAAATATGTTGCTAAATTAGAATTTTTATTTAAGTTATTCATCTTTTTTTAGTTTCATTTGTTTTCAATTTGAAATTCGGTTTTTTACTGATGTAAATCTCATGAATTTTACTGTATTTCCTTGGAAAACCGGGGATCAATTTACCTACAATCCCTAAATGTAGGTATCTATAATAAAACTTTTTAATACTTTAGATTCATTTACCATATTTAAATAAAATCAAAAAAAAAAAATTATTTAAATAATATTTATTTAAACCCCTTAATTTTTCTGCATCTTTATAAATTCTTTAATTATTTTTCAGCCTAGCACTTTACTTAAAATACCTATAAACTCGCTCTTTTTTTATTTTTATTTTTATTTTTTTTTCCTTCCCTTCACTTAATTGAATTTTCAATCCAATCATGAATTATAAATAGATCCGGAAAAAGTCACGATTTTAAATTTTCCTATACCGTTTACTTTTTAACACCAAACCTGCAGAGTTCAGGTTGTACTCTATTTTCTCACTTTCCCACACAATATAATACGCCATAAACCCGTTTGAACTTACCAATAATATCCTTGGTACATTAAAAAAAAATTTTTTTCATATATATATATATATATATTTTATGCAGGATGAACACAGTTAAAAATTCATTTTTTTTTCGAGGTTCCCCAAAAGAACAAGATTTCGAATTTTTAAAACATTCACATTCGAGACAGGAATCCCAAAATTTTTCAAAAATCGCTAATAAACTAAGTAAAAAAATTTCATTTGGATCATTAAAACACTCGTCAGTTTATCAAAAAAAAATGAACAATAATATGAAAAGGAAAATCGACAAAATAGAGCACCTAGATCCCACATCAAACCTTTCACATAAGCGTTCGGATACACCGATATCTGGTTACTCATCATCAGACGATGATCAGTATGGCGCTTCCGCTACCCAACCTCTTATATACAACGATGCTGTTTCGATACAACTTCATCAGCCAAGAAGTGATATGGCAACTGGTGGTTGGTGTCATTTACATGGATCATGTGTTCAATTGTTAGAATGGTCATTTATTAATTATCATCATTTTCATTATCATTATCATTATCATTTTTTTTTTTAAAAAAAAGACATATCACAGGTTTTGGTTTTCTACACGGGTGGTACCATTGGTATGAAAAATACAAACAACCACGGATACGTTCCAGTAAGTTCCTAGCTGAATTATCAAAAAGTTTTTATATCACTTTTTAAAATTGCTTTCTTTTTTTATTATCTTTTAGGTGCCTAATTACCTTACAGATAATCTTGCTGGAATGTCGCGGTTTCATGATCATGCATATTATCCAAGCTTCCGTCGCTTTATCTTGGATAATAATGATCTATCCGAAGAAGAAACTCATCCTACGAATAAAGTTATCGTTAACGATTTGACCAAAGATCCACCAGAACAAATTGAAACGGTTCGACGTTGCTTGATAACACCACCTTCTTTGGTAGGAAAAAGAATAAGGTAAAAATTCTTCAACAAGAAAAAAATTTGGTGATCTTTCGAGATTAATCATTTCGACTATTTTAGGTATTCTGTAATCGAATATGAACCCCTGTTAGATTCTTGTAACATGACTAGTGATGGTATGATTTTTTCTAAATAAATTTAAACCAATACTACACGAGTTTTAATTCATTCATAACTTACTTTTTATTTAGATTGGATACGTATTGCTACCGATATCGAACTAAATTACGAGTCATACGATGCCTTTATAATATTACACGGTTAGTATCTTTCTTGAAATTAGGCAATCCAAGCAAATATAACAAATATTTACGCTTAATTTCTATGCGTTTATCAATAGGCACGGATACAATGGCATATACTGCAAGTGCACTCAGTTTTCTATTAGAGGATTTAGGGTATATATCGTCTTAACTATAGAATCTTTTTGATCATGGTTATTACACATATAACTAATATGTCTCGTTTATATAGCAAAACCGTCATTTTAACCGGTTCACAGGTATGAGGAACCGTAATTTTCACTGTCACTTGAACAGAAAATCCAATAGTGACTCAAAAACGTATATGATTTTTATCTCCTTTTAATTCATGTAGCCACAAAGTATATGTTTCTAATTTTCTTTTTCCTTTTTTGTACAAAAATGGATGTTAGGTTCCATTGTCTGAAGTTCGCAATGACGCTATCGAAAACCTTCTGGGAGCACTTACAATCGCTGGCCATTATGTCATACCTGAAGTAAGCTTGTTTTTCAACAATAAACTTTTCCGTGGAAATAGGTCGGTGAAGATGAACGCGGTTGAATTCAATGCATTTGATTCACCAAATTTAGCTCCTTTGGCCACGGTTGGGATAAATATAGGTTACACATCCAGCTCACGTGTTTAAAATTTCTTTTGATTGTTATTGTTATTCTAAACTTGCTTAATTTTTTTCTTTAGATGTCAATTGGGCAGAGATCGTGAGGCCATCTTCGATTTCAAGATTTAAGGCACACAAAGCTCTAAATCGAAATGTGAGCAGTTTAAGATTGTTTCCCGGTATAACTGAGTCAACCGTGAAAGCATTATTGGCGGAACCGATTGAAGGTGTAATTTTAGAGACATACGGTGCTGGAAACGCGCCTGATACTCGGAATGATATAATGAGAGCTTTAGCGTCTGCTAGTGATAGGGGTGTTGTTATTGTAAATTGTACACAATGCAAAAAAGGAGTTGTAACCGATTTATATGCTACCGGTAAAGCCCTTCGTAGGGTTGGCGTTGTTTCAGGGAATGATATGACCCCAGAGGTAATAGGCATTCAATTTTCCATTGCGCGGATAATGATCGAAATTTATTTATTTATTTGTTAATTATGTATTTTATAGTGCGCGCTGGTTAAACTAGCGTATTTACTTGGTGAATTTGAATCCGGGAAACGTTACCCACCTAAAGTGGTACGTGAGTTGATGACCAAAAATCTCCGTGGAGAACTTACAGTTGTAGCTCCAAAGCCTAGATTTACCTTTCATAATCGTACTCATAAAATTATACAAAATATGATTTGTAAGTTGATTACTTTTTCCCCTTAAAAAATTGTTCCATTAATTAACCATACATTTTAATTGTATAGATGCCGCTTCGGATGCAAACCAGGCGGCAGCAACAGATTCTTCATTGATGATGAATGTGCAAGAAAAGGTTTTAATGGAAAAATCTTTATATCCAATTTTGTTGTGCTCTGCTGCTGGAACAGATGATCTTGATGGAATGTTGTTGTTATCGGAGAATTATGAAGGAATGATGCTAATGTTGAATTGTATGGATTATGATGGAAGAACTCCATTGGTAAGTGTGCTTTTAAGCTGATTTTGGCTTAAAGAATATTTGGATTGAATCGTTTTATTCTTTTGAAGCACATCGCATGTACAGGAGGGCATCACCGAATAGTGAAGTTCTTATTACAAAATGGAGCATCTGTTCACATGAGGGATAGATTTGGACATACACCTTTGTATGAGGCTGCACGGAATAAACATAAACATGTAATTAACACATTACGTGAAGCAGGAGCTCATTTCAATGATGCGGAGATTGACGATGTAGTATTTCAATCATTATCGTATGTTTCCATATTATAAATGAGGTTATTTAATGATATTTAAGTACCAACTAATTAATCATTAATTTTTAAAAAAATTAGTGCTGCTGCGAAAGGCGATGTCGAATTGCTTAAGCATTTTGTTGATTCGGGGATAGATATAAATCGTACCGGATTTGATCATCGTACGGCCTTACATCATGCAGTAGCCGAAGGTTGTCTAAATACCGTTCAATTTCTTTTGTCCCTACCTGACATAAATACGGAGACTAAAGATAGATGGGGAAGAAAGCCAATTGATGATGCTGAAATGAATCTCGGTAGAATGTGGGGGAGAGACAATGAAACAGAAAAACAACTAAGAGAAATCGTTAGATTGCTGAGGGAAAAAACTGATTATGCGATAGATGAAGCTATCGTGAGAAGAAATACAACACATCATGAAGATCTTGGACCACATCACTTAAGCGGGGTGAATGGGGTTGTGATTGTAGTAAACGGCGATAAGTAAACGTGTAAATAATCAAATATGAAGAGAAGATATAATTACACACACGATTCACTTATATCATGAACGGAAAAAACAATTTGCAATAAATTTTTTTTTTTTTATCAAAAATTGAGTAGAACCATTTTAAGATGATCTTTTTTTTTTCTAGAAACTTAATTTTTTATTAATATAATAATAATAATAATAATTGCATAAATAGTTGGATTGGATGTGGATTGAAATAAAGTAGGAATATGTTTGTTTTATCTATTAATAATTTTAAAATCTTACTTTTTATCATCTCATGAAAAAGTTAATAATAAACGTATCTCATATACTCAATACATTTCAAGCGACATTTAGTATTTATTTAGTATTTATGTGAGCACATGATTACAGAATAAAAAAAAATTATTCTGGACACCTAAGGAAACTTTTGATCTTGGTGTTGTTTAAGCCTAGGATTAATATATTATCGATTTATTTATTTTTTTTTGTGTAGCAACCTCAAAGTTAGCTCGGATTTTTTTACATGTAATTTTTTATTCTCCAATAATAATTGAAAATTTTACTTACAGTATAAAGAATAATGTGGTGTGAAAACCATTCGTTTATTACGCAATTTTTCTCCTCTTTGAGGTATAAACAAGTGGTTGCATATGCTCAACTATTACTTTCTTTTTTTCATTCTCCAATAGATGCATAGGTCAGCTGAAGCTGTTCGCAAATTTTTCAAGGATTTCTCGATTCATCATCAGTTTTGAAATTCAAACAGTTATATAATTTTTTAGTTAACCCAAAAAGTGCGATAGATATCTGATTTGGATTCTTTGATAAGAGAATTTTATGTTCGACTTCTTCAATGCCAATTTGCATATATAAAAGATATATGTGACAACGTGTATTTTTTAGTATCTTCCATTCCCATATATTCAGGTGTAAGTTTTGAAGTGGTTTCTGTGCGATATGATGTTTTAATCGAATGGTTTTTGACCTGTACCAATATAAATGTAACACTCTCTTCATCCATTTTCCATTGATTAAAACTGGTATAATCAAATCAGTGCCTTTCCTGATTTTCTTTACAGGAAACTGCCTCCACGTTTAGCAAACTCAATTAAATCCAACTTTGTTGGTGTATACATTATTTATACAAAATGATTGAAACGAACCTGTCCATTTGCTATGTCAGTGTCTTTAATAGCTTCCCAAATATCATTAAAAGCCTTATCTGTAACTAGCGATCATAAATTCTCATTGGCTCTGCAAACTGGACACTTAAAGGAGAAGAGCGAGTAATTGCATGTTTATCCCATGCAAAAAGAAGTATCAATTGTGCTAAAGTCTCACCACGGTAACCTCCTTGGATCAAATGTGGTTCAGACGATGATGATGTAATAACAGTTTGACAATCTTCAGACACAACCACATATAATTCGAAACTAAGGTTGTTGCCAACTCGGACTGAGGAGAAATATCAATGTGAATACGTGATCCAAGGATGGCGACAGCCGAATTAAAATCCGGTTGATTCAATTGTGTAAAACCTAGTTTGACCATTGCTAGATTGACCACCGGTTAGGATAATCAGGATCACTAGCCGACGATAATTGAGCGTACCATAAAGGTCTACCAAAACGGAAAAAATAGTCGCATTTTACGGTTTCATCTAAATTGCTTGGCTCCAATGTAGCTACTCGGATGTGAGTATCGAATGTATCAAGGAGATAATACAACTTATGACTGCTAAGCTGAACTCGTGTTTAATTTGTGGAGCAAAATTAGCCAATTTCCCATTGTATCTGTTATAACAGAAAATACAATATACTGTCCATCTTGCACCTCAGAAAGAAACCGCAAAATGATCCGAAGCCAATAATAGTAATCTATCGGCTTTTCTTCTGATGGTAGCAAATATCTTGATTCTTCAAATGTGAAAACCATTTTTAATTTGGTTGAAATCTGATCAAACTGTTTCTTTTGTTTTTTAATGAAGTTGTTATAATACTTTCCAAGTTCGTCTTTCATAATCAATTATGCCTCATCATCATTGGTATTTTTGCAAGATTCCTCCAAAAAGCAAAAAATGGTGTAGGCACTAAAGATGGCATTGTAATTAAGAAGTTGCAACTCGGGTTGCAACTGGTTGCAACTCCTTGCAAAATTTATTTTAATATAAAAATTTATAAATAGTTGCAACTCAATGAGTTGCAACTTAAGTTGCAACTAGCTAAAAATTTTAAAATTAATTACAGCTCCATCATTAGTAGGCACTATCTTTGATAATTTTTTGCGTTAAAACAACTGGTGTTGTGACCAATATTTTTCATATTACCGCTTAAGCATTTGGAAAACATGCACATAATAATAGTCATGACGCACGATACTGCGCCAACCATAGTTAGCGAATGGTGATACTGACGATCACGAATTAATTTCTATAATTTCTATAATCTATAATTTCTTACATTTCTTTAATAACTTTAATTTCTTATATATATTTAATTTCTTTACTTTATTAAATATCTATTTCATATTGATATAAATATCCTGTATATTTATTTGCCTTGATAAATGGCAGAATCGTTACCAATCTCTAATAAATCAATACATTTATCTCTAAAACTTATCTTTGTTCGCTTATAATTCATTCTTCTTTAAATATATATCAATAAAGATGACCTGACCCTTCAATATAATTAATTCGTGTTTATTTCTTTCATAATTTAGATGTAATTAAACTCTGTTAGCAAATACATTCTGTTAACTTAATGACGTACCGTTTAAGTTTAACAACACTTATAGAGGTTGTTTTTTGTAAAATGTCATCAGCATAATAAGAACGTTCCAGAAAGCCACCTCCGACAACACTCTCTCGAAAGCATGAATACACCACAAAAATTTCATTTCCAATCTCCTTCAAGAGTCGAGATTTTCTCATACCGCTCGCTTGTATTAAGGTTATATACGGTGAATAATATGTATGTATTTGCAAGAATTTCTAAATGTTCAAAAATGAGGAACGAATTTGGATCTTCAGATTTAATCGTAGAGAAGGAATGACAACCTAAACGAAATAGATTTATCAAAACAAAAAGGACAGGAAGTCTTAATATATGAGATGTATAGATTTATGATGGAACAATTTACAATATTTGTTTTTATTCCATCCAAGCCATAGATTACAGAAGAAAAATAAAGCATAAGTTGGCATAAGTTGTTCATAATTAAAAAAAAGTATAGAAACCGCTAGAATTAATTAATTGCCATAACAGTACCTACTATATGCCTCAACGCGTTTGTAATAACCATCCAAAAAACGTTGCTTGCTTACTTTTTTTCGTTTTTAAATAATTTTATGAATCTCTTCAACATCGGCTTCAGGTTTTTCCTTTATATATTCTTGCACAAATTCTAGAAATTCAAATGAGGCCATAGTGTTAGGTTATGAATAAATCCTAAAAGAAAGGAACTATGTGATATTTTAATTTTCCCTTTCGCTTTGAAAACCAAAACTTTTTAAAATTTTTTAATTTTATGTCGATCCACAAATGATCAGTAGAATATTTTTTATCGGCAATGAATTTACCATATTAGGAAATTGATCGTTAAGATATATTTGGTAAATTTCCTGACTGTATTTATGTTACCAACTAATTCTTACTAAAAAAAATTTTCTCACGCTAACTTCTTTTTTCTCAAAAAAAATTTAGCGACAGCCTTAATAACGTACAATATTCTTTATAGTTTAACGCTTGTTTACGACTTTGAACAAATATTTAAGTATCCTTGTGGGTAAGTTTTTTTTTATTAAACTGATCTGTTTGCGGGTGGGAAGTTAAACCCATTATCGTTTAGTGATATTCCAGCTATGTCCTATTCAAATTCTGACATACTATTTTGCATTCCGATAAGAATACTCTCATTTACATTTGGTCACTCCAGGTAGTAAAGGCTTGCATATGGTTTCTGCTTGGGGCTTCAGTTTTTGTAGACACAAAATGATCTTCATTATTAATGGATTTTGAAGCGTTATCTTACTTACCATTCAAGATAATGTGTAATACCAGTATCCTTTGGTAAGCATCTTTTTTATTATTATTAAGTTGTGAATTTTTTTATAAGTTTTCTAATTCTCGAAATCCTATTTTTCCTCAGATTATCATTTCCATATTATCCTTATTTCATCATATACAATTCCTTCCGGGTGGGTGGTTAAACCCCGTTATCGTTCAGTGATATTCCTGCGATGCCCTGTCCCAATA